AAGAAGCAATGCACCCGATGTATTGATTGGGTGAAAGGGGGATGGGGGCCCACAAGTGAGAGACAGGAAAGCTGAGAAGGGGGCACAGAATAGAATTCAAGGGGTGTGTGTGTGGGGGGGGCAGTAATGAGTGGTTTGATCTGTTGAATACTGAGTTTGTAGTCTGAAATGTAACCCCCCCAAATTTTTTTTTCACACACACTCAATTACAAGGTATAAATGAGTCATTGCGGTGGTTGAACAACACAATAAACTTAATGAATGCCAGTAAGTGATACATGTGAAAAATGTTGAAATAGCAGATGTTTTGTTATCCACGTGTTGTACACATACACAATACAACCTACCAGCAGACAATGTCTTAAACCCAAAAGACAGTGAGAATACCATCACACCTCACATAGAATCCCTCAGGGAATCACTTTCAAAATAGAATCCAGCCACTCTCCCCACCCCCACAGACTACACCATCTCGTACTACATCACTGCAGTGGACTAAACTCGGTCCTTGGCATGCTACCGTCGCTCTGCACCCAGTGGCCAGTGTGCGCTACTAAGCCATCTCCTACAAGAGTAGAGGTTAGATCCAGTGAGCCTGTGGTCTATCATCATCTGTCTCCCTGCAAAGAACAACCCACAATGCACTCTGTTTGCTCCGCAGCTTCACCCGCTCCCTCCCACCGGGACTACTTTAACGTCAATCTCAGACACCCTGTCACTTCATAAATATTTTAATATTTGTCTTCACAAATGATTTCTGCCTATACAGAAAACAACAACATCACCTCAAGATAAAACTTTTAAATATTGGAACTATGAAAATGAAAAATTCCTTAGTTATAAAATACCCACTGCTCGTTCATCCGTCACCAAGATGCTTTGTTTGTTGATGTTGCACAAGTCCAGAGCCACGTGAAGCCCAGGCATGGCTGCTGCTGAAATCTCTTCGAATTTCCTTTTGACCCCTTTGTGCCACTTGCTTCACTTGTTTTGTCCTTGCAAGTTTCTTGGTATTTTTTTGTTTTTTGCCATAGAAGCCAGGTTCATCATCCTCAAGTATTTGTTTCGGCCTAGATTTTGTAGGCTCCTTCCCAGAGGGATCATTTCGCCTGCTTCCCGTTCCTTAAATGTCCTGTAAATGGATAAAGAGAGGGGCTCCATAAGATGTTGTGGCTGTTTTGGTTGATAAGACTCCTCCATAGGCAGCATTACCTGCTTCTCGTCTGTTTCTTTGGACGTTGGCAGCCATTGAGGTCATTGGCCAGATCTATAAGCTCTTCAGAGGTTACCAAATGGAGACAATGTACCACTCCCCGATTGTTTATTAACTGCTCCAACTCACGGCCCTGGCGTCAATTCTGACTTCCCCATCAGCAGCCCAAAGGGCTGGGGATCAAGCTTCACTACTAATAATTCCAAGGACATTCTGGAGCAGAGACATCTCAGACCTCCCACATGGTTTCTCTTATCCTTCTTTTCGACATCAATCATAGCGATCTAGAATTATTAGAACAACAATTCATTTAAAGGACGTTTATGAAACATTTCAATTTTATACTCTCCAGAGTTGCATAACCTCTCAGGAACATTCTCTAGGGAACCTTGCCTTATGCCTTCCGTGTATTTACTGTCAGCAGTCCTTAAGCTGGGGACTTCCTGCTAAGGGAATTCCAAAGATAACATCACTTCCTCCTAGGAATGATTCTTCATTGACTGAGAGGCTCAACTGACTAAAAGATGAGCCTAGTCCCCTGTCCCTTTTTCTGTCCCTTAAGGCAAACCAGACCAAACTCCCTGCTAGCCAGTGGATTCCAGCTCACAGCCACTTGGTAGGACAGGGTAGAGCTGTGAGTTTTGGAGGCTGAACTCTTTGTTTTTAAACGCATTTATTCCAACATTGTCTTTTATTAAAATATATAATATATGTACACACTAAAACGATTACTTTTTGTTTTAAAAAGTGCTGTTTTAGAAATTTTGGAAACTCCATAGACACATTTTAAAAATGATAATGACAAAAGTAAATACTTGAGATTTTACTACTGCATCTATGTTCTGGGCCTTATCAAATTCTACCAGTTAACTTCGAAGTGCTTTCTTTTTACAAAGAAAAATTGTCATTCTTTCTTTTTTTTTTCTTTCTCAGAGCTGCTGGTGGCTTCGAACTGCTGACTGTGCAGTGAGCAAACAACATGCCCGATGACACCACTAGGGCTCTTCCCTAGAAAGCATTCCCCAGCTACCTTGCCAGCCCCCTTCCTTGGGTTAGGATATGAGAGTTATCTGAGTTTCATCTCCTGCTCCAGACCTAAAAGCAACCATTTCTAAAGGGACTCTGGACTCCTTAGCAGTAACAGCATTGAGCGATTACAGCATGGGGGCTAGGGCGACATAATTCTCAGATAGGCTTTCTCTGTGCGCACATTGTGCACAATCGTTGACCGTCTTCAAAGGACAGTTTCCCTAGAAGTAAATTGATCATACAGAGAATATTCACATCTCAGCTCTTGAGACTGTACCAGTGGTGAGATGTATTCATGTATGCCCTAGCTGGCGGAGGTCATGGTTTGGGGAGTCCCCATTTTCCCAGCGTCTTCTCCTGCACTAAGTACGGCAGGTCATTTTAACCTTTCCACAAATTCAGCAGAAACTGAATTGGTTTGCTTTTGTTTCTGGTATTTATTAACCACTAGTGACGATGTTTTCATATATTTATTTACTCTTTCTACTTGTTTTTCAAATATAATTAGTTACATGCTTTGGCTGTTTTTCATTTCTTTAGTATTTGAGAAATATTAATCCGTTGGATGATAGGTTGGAAATATTTTCCCAGGATGTGGTTTATTTTTTGCCCGTGTTGTATTTGGTTTGCATACTTTGAAATTCATAATTAGTCTTATGTGCTCGGACAAAGGTTGAATGTCACAATCAATTAAAAAGACCGGTAGTCCCCGCTTGCAGATAAAAGACAGAACATTGCCAGCAGCAACCCAAAGGTCTCCCGGGTGCACTTCCCCAGTGGGGCAGCAGCCAAGCAGGGGCTGCTAAGCCAGATGTCAGCAGTCCGAGCCCCCAGCCATTGTGTGCTAGAAAGATGTGGCAGTGAGCCGCTGTAAAGATTCACAGTCGAGGGAATCCTTTGGAGAATTTCCCTCAGTTCTAGAGTCACTGTGGATGGGGAGTGACTTACCCGTAGTGGGTTGGGTTTGTCTGGACTGGTCTGGTTCTCTTCCCTGGAGGTTACCATTATTCTGACTTCTTTGGTAGTCATTCCCTTCCTTTAAAAAAAACCCAACTCTTATGCTTCTCTGTAGCAGTCAATCTTATTTTGCCAGCGTTAAGTCTTATCGACATATGTGATGTCAGTATATAAATGGTTTGACTTGTTCTTCCCTTCGGATCTATGTTTACAATGTCCATTCATGTTATTGCGTGCCACTGTGCTATTGCATGTGACGGACATTAGTTTGGGTTGATGTATAGTATTCCGCATGTGAGCACACACAACATGTTTATGGATTTTGCTATCAGTGGCCAGTAACGCGCACTGGTGGTGCTGTGGAAAAAGCACTGGGCTGCTGACCATGAGGTGAGTGCTTCAAGCCCAGCTGCTGTGTGTGAGGAGGGAGATGAGACTGTGCTCTCATGGCAATTCACTCGCAGTCCAGAACCCCACGGGGTCACTGTGCGGAGGAATGAACTCCATGCAGTGAGCTGAGTCTTTGATTTGGATTGTTACTTTAGATATTCTGGACCGGAACTCTTTGATGGGATATGACAGGCATGTTAAGTTGCGTGTTATAAATGCCTGTGAAAGTATATGTTATAAATACTGTACTTTTTCCTACTTTCTGACATGTAACTTTCCCTCTCTTTTGTTGAACATGGATTTCTTAATGTTGATAGGTCCAAATCACTCGAGTACTGAGCGTTGTTGGTTTAATCTGATCTAACTGACCTTTTTTAAAACTTGAGTTTCTGTCCTTAATGGAAAGAGCGGTATTTAAACGTGCTTACTGTAAGCCGGTTACTTCAGAGCTGAGCCTTTGCCAGACTTACTCCACAAAGAGAATATCACCGAGTGTCTCAGGCACAATGCCACACATTTCAAAGGCACTTTTACCATTTTCACAATTAGGTCCCTATAACAACCCAGAATTTTTAAGTCACGGTCGTTCTATTTGGCTCTCCTTCAACAAATCAGTCCTGAGGCATATACGATCATCTTGTATAGCTCTTCCTTAAGGGTGTACCATCTTGTGCCAACTTATAGTGCCAGTATAGATGCATATGGGGTCTATATGAGCTTGTGTCTCATCTTTCCAACCAGGCTCAAAGCTTCTTTACACCAGAGGATCTGTAAATATGGTTTCCATCTTTGATGGTGCTTTGCACTGAATAAGAATTGATGATAATGATATTAAAGACAGTGATAATAAAATACCAACCCCAAAACCAAGCCCACTGCCAACGAGTGTATTCTGACTCATATCAACCCTGCAGGGCAGACTAGAACTGCTTCTTAGGTTTTCTGGGATGGTAACTCTTTGCATCCCTATCTTTCTTCCACTGAGCATCTATCTGGTGGATTTGTACAGCCGACCTTGTAGTTAGCCACGATGTTTAACCTGCTACATTACCAGAGCTCCTTGTAATAAAAAGGAGGACCCACTGAGTATTTAGTCTTTAAAAAGGAAAGGAAAACCTACTTTTAACAGATATGAAATGCTTGGATTTTCTTTTAAAAAGACAATTAATTATTGCTTGGCTAATGTATAATTGATCATTGCCAAATCACATTTCAAACAATGAGTATAATCACTTGCTTTTTTTCCTTACTTCACTAATGAACAGTTCATTGAACTTCAGAATCCTGGTGGAGATACTGATGGGGACCCAAGGGCAAGCACAGATCATTAAGAATATGGATGGTCTCCTTTGTCTTTCTACTTGACTGTCACACATTTCAATATCTATATTTATGCTCATCTGCTTCTCAGGTAGAAATGAGTCCTCTGGAAAACGCAACTGAAGTATTGGAAAATAAGAATCAGCAACTGAAGACCCTGATTAGCCAGTGTCAGACAAGACAGATGCAGAATATCAATCCCCTGACCATGTGCCTGAACGGCGTGATCGATGCCGCAGTGAACGGTGGAGTCTCCAGGTACCAAGAGGTAAGGGTTAGGTTTCGTGCAGAGCAAGTCATTCAGAGGTGATCGCTTAGCATTTCAGTCATCATTTTCCCCAAATGTGTGCACGCGTCAACACGCACCGTGCGACAGTTGACCCACCCCAATCACTGTGAGGCCCACCGACTCCACTTCTCCACAGGTCATTTTGGGAGAATGAAAATGTGTTTTCAGTATAGGGAAGTAGTCCGGGGATCAAGATTGTTTAATAAATGTCTATCTAAAACTATTTCTCTTAGCAAAGAGGCTCATGGTCATGAAAAGTCTGATAATGGGTAGAAGATACCTTCAGTGGAATCTGCCCTCTTAGTTTTTAACAGAGAGCCTTTGGAGGTAAGACTAACATCTTGGCTACACTGAATAGTTAGATGGTTTATTTTAGGATATAATGCCATAAAGCCTGTTGATTTGGATTTGTTGTTTGTTTCCTTTACCAAAAGTACTTGTTAGGTATCTTGGACACCCCCCCACCCCCCCCCCCCCTCCTTGAAGAATCCTTTCTTAAGAAGAATCCACTCTTAAGAAGCATTCCGTCTTTGTGGTGGTTCATTTCTTTGGGAGATTCCAGATCTGGAAAATCAACACCTGTGCCTTCCCCTTGCTTTGCAACTTTCTTAAAGTAGATTGACTCTCTTTTTCTTTTGCTAGGCATTCTTTGTCAAAGACTATATCTTAAGTCACCCTGAAGACGGAGAGAAAATTGCACGGTTACGAGAGCTGATGCTGGAGCAGGTAAGGAAGGCAGAAGTTGATCTTCACCTGCTCTCTCTCCTTCCTGAACATCCCTTTGCTCAGCCACACACTGAGCTGCACCACGCACCTTGCACATGGACAGTCAACTGAAGCTGCAGATTCACCACAATGGATCCCAACCTGCTAATTTCTAAACCCCACCCCCTTCAAAGTATCTAACAATGGGTAGACCATGGCAACCCCTTATAGTAAACCTTTCACATGGTCTCTTAGGTCTCTCCCTCCAGGATTTATTACAGGTGTGGTGCCAACATTTTGCTGAAAACTTGGTGCTCAAATAAATTCAGGCCTACCTACTCAAGATAAACACAACTTGAAGGGGAACTAAGCAAGTAATAGACTTTTCTCAGAAACAGCATTGTGTTTACAAACTTAGCCTGCAAATCATGTGACCTGAGCGAAATGACATACAACCTCATCATTTGCCACTCCAAAGAAGCGTCATTTATTAAGTTGGGTTTATTTAGAACCATCAGGTACAAGGGGCGGCATCGAGGGATCTCTTGCCTGCATGTTCCTCTGGAGCAGCTCTGAAACTGAAAAAGCGTGACAATCTCTGAGCTAAGTAGATGCTATGGTTGAAAGGCTAGGCTAACTCTGACATAAAGGCACTTTATCACCAGGAAAATTAAAATATGTACAGTAAAGTATGAAAGACATGTTTTTGTTTGTTGTAGTTAGGAACGCGTGAGAGTGTATCTGGTTTCAGTCCATAGTTGAAGTGCTACAGGCTACATCCAAAATAACCTAGCATCCTGAGGGAGACTTGGCTGTGGGTGAGGGTCTCGGCTGGAATGGACTCAGTTATACACCTGAAAAAGAGAGAGGAGAATTACTTGAAGTTGCCCTCAAGGTCATAGAAAATAAGCCAAGTTCCCGGAGTGATCCTGGGGCTGAAGAGATGCTGGAAGTGAATAATTTGGTCCTCAAGTCTTAGGAGGCATTTTAGTCTGGGTGGAATTTTTTTTTTTGAATCTGTGTTTCATCTAAGGAGTCTTGGTGCCATAGTGAGTTAAGCCGGGGCTGTTAACCTTAAGGTTGGCAATTCAAACCCAGCAGCCACTCTGCAGGAGAAAGAGGAGGCTGCCCATTCCCATAAAGATAAACAGTCCCAAAAGAGCAGTTCAGCTCCACCCGATAGGAGCACTCTGAGCTGGAGTTCGCTCACTGGATTTGGGGGTGTTGGTGCTTTTCCTGAGCACCCTCGCTTGGGATCGGTTTACCTCATTCAGAAGCCTGTCTGCAGTAGTCATTCTGACGGGATTCTTTTCTCAGAACTCAATTTGCAGCAGCAAGAAGCCTCTCAAGAAAACATGATTGAGAGCTTTCATTTCACTCTTGTCTAGTCCTGTTCCTAAAACCTTGTGGAAAGAGCCGTGACCTTGGTAACATTCTGTCTCTGATTGTCTGATAGGCTGTGCCCGCTGTGGCTGTGTGACTTTGCCCTCTTTGAAGGCCATCAGGATAAAGAGGGCACCATCATTCTCTGGACCACCCTGAAGCAGCTCAGATAAACTGTTGTGGGACAAAGATATACTGCAGCCCTGACATTCCCTCTAAGGAGGATTTGTCGCCCCAGCTGTCTACAGTGTGGCTGTTGGCAGACCACTGCCTGCTGTCAGATCTTTCAGGCATCACCTTGGCTGCCAAGAGATGCCTTACCCAAGGTCACATCCTTCCTGGACCAACCCACATCCAAAGATTTAGGAGAGAATCTAACACCTGGCCTTTTGTGTTCAGCAGGGCAATACTGGTCAATGAGGAAGGGCCTATGCAGCCCCCTGGTGCCTGGGTGGGCTGACAGGAGTAGCATACTTCCCCTTTCACAAACAGAGATCCCAAAGCCACAAAAATGAACAAGTCAGTCAGAGTAGAACTAGGCTCCATCAGGCTTTCGTTGGCTGGTTTGTTCTTGTTGTGGTTGTTTGTTTTGTTTTCATTGAACTTTCTCTGAGGATCGAGATGGTTTCAATCCTCCAACCTCTGGGTGAGCATGTAGTTTGCACCTCCCAGGGACTCCAATTTCAAGGGCACACCCTACTCTCCTCATGAGAGTCAGCTTCTTAGAGAGCCAGCCTGCAACATGTTCTGGGGAAAGGGAGACTGTTTAATAACTAGTGCTTACCACTTACACTCCTAAGCGGCTCCTACACTTAGGCTCAATTCATCCCTCCTTCCCACCCTATTCTGGGTTACCAAAGAGACCCCAGTCTCAAATATAATTTAAAGAGGACATTCATTAAGTCTTCAAAGGGACAACGATAAGACAAAGATACAGACACATCGTTGGGATAAGGGAAGCCGTGAGCATGAGGTCAAAATGGTACCCAAGGGTTTGTTGAAAGAACTTTGGAAAGGCCATAGGAGGTTAAAGGAAACCATAGCAAAAGCAGGAATGGCTGCGGATCAGTACGTCACAGTGATGGGAGGGGCCACCCCCCGAGCAGTCACAGGACCAGTAACGACTGGGACACATGCAATGTTAGATAGAAGGGCTGACGTGGTTGAATCAGGGCTCTCTGGCAGAGCCAGTCAGGGCCAGACTGACATAACTAAGCATACCCCTTACTGTGACCAGTTTGCCTATCTCCATCCAGGACATACCTAGCTCTTAAAAGCCTGCCCCTCCTCAGCCTGGCTGGAGAGGGCCGTGTAGGGAACATACATTCCAAGACACTCTGCCTCAGGGCAAGACTAACTGCCTCCTAGGTTAAAGGTCAGAAAGAAGTCACTGGAAGCTTGATTTGGGGCCTGGCACTGTCTTTGGCAAACTGTTGATACAGCCCGTCATCAGAAAGATCAGACTCTCCCTTCATGCCTCGGACACACAACCTTTCAAACATGCCCTTGCCACATCTTTGGGATGTTTTCATGTGTGTGCAAATGTGCTGGCTGTGGGCGGGCATCCAGAGCCTGAGTTGCTTGTCCTGTCCCCTTTAGGGAGTCCACCAGGGCTTTCCTCTGTGCCCCGAGCGTTCTATCTCTGCTCTTCACAGATTGTAAAGATGAAAGACTGTAGTGACCTGTGGCTTGTTTTCTTTTCAGCCTATGGGATTTGCTCTTTTGACCACATTAGCGTAAGGACCTTTCAAAAATATAAGGGGCAGCAGCTATTCAAATGAGAGGAATTAAGCCCTGTGGAGGGTGGGACAAAGGACACTAGCATGTTTAAGTTGGCTCGCTTTGGGTCCTGACAGTAGCAAGCATCTTTGTGGGGTTTTTTTTCCTTCTCCTTTCTAAGCGGAAGTGGCTCCCTTTTGTGCAGCACAATAAGTGAACCAGAAGACTATGTTTTAGCAAAACCAAGAAACTTCACAACTGTTCTCAGCTTCCTGTGCATTTGTTAACTTCCTCTCTGACAGATTTTGGAAATGTGTGTGAGGGATAAGAAAACCACGGAAGGCCCTGAGGAAGAGGGAGGGAAGTGGGGAAGACAGATCTGAAATGCGCAGGAAGGAGGCATGGGGTTGGGCCTTTGCAAGGAGAGCTATCTCCAGACTCCCTTTGCCTTCACGCAGGACCTCGCCGCGTGTCCGTTCCCTCCACGGTGCAGTTTCTGAGCCTCTCATCCCTGGCCCATTGTCCCTGGGGAAGCGTGAGGCCTGGCAATCATGCATGCAAAATGCACAGTCCCAGGTTTAGCAGCTTCGCAGGCACCCCGAGAATGGGAACCACTGACGTGGGTGTGTTTTTGTTTCGCTTTGTGTTTCTCAAGGCCCAGATATTGGAATTTGGTCTGGCGGTGCACGAGAAGTTTGTTCCGCAAGATATGAGACCCCTTCACAAAAAGCTGGTGGACCAGTTCTTTGTCATGAAGTCGAGCTTAGGGATCCAGGTACCATGACACTGGGTGTCCGCCGGGGGGCGGTCTGACCACTCACGGCCAATTTGCGTCTAGGTGGGAGGGCCGATGAGGGGTCCAAGAGTGACACCTCTTGGTATTTCTACCAAACTGCAGCATGTTCCAGGGAGCGTTCTCTATCTGCTTGTGTGCCCTGCTTCCATTTTATGAAGCAACAACAAAATGCCCACAGGGAAAGCTTAAGAAGACCGAAACGCACCTTCACTGACTCCTTATAGAAGGTGTTCGTGACAATTGGCATGTGTCCCCAGAGTAGTACAGTATCTCTCAAGGTATCCCCATTTGGGGGCCAGATGATTGCTATCCTAGAATCGTTTCTTTGATGTGCCTTTAGGAGTTCTCTGCCTGTCTTCAAGCCAGCCCGGTCCATTTTCCTAACGGGAGCCCTCGCGTGTGTCGGAACTCGGCACCTGCTTCGATGAGCCCAGATGGCACCAGGGTAATTCCTCGGCGCAGGTAAGTCGCATCTGAAGCATTTTATCACCTGGCATCTCCTCAAGGTGATCTGGAACGCTTTTCTCGTCCTTGATGGCACAATTTCTCAAATGTGCTATCTCTTAATGAAATAATTAACCCGCGAGGCAGCGGCAGACATCTGCCACGGTTAAAACAGCAACAGCATGAGAAATACATAAACTCAAATGTTTGCTTCTTTTGAGGCAAACGAGAGACGACAAAGTGGGATGTGCAGCTAGATAGGTATAGAAACGGTTGTTGTTTTTCGTTTTTCTGTTTCCCCCATGCCAGCATGGTGATGAAGAACAATGTGGAGACTGAGTTAATGTCCTTTATTTTTTTGTCTCTTGCTTGTTTTTTTTCCCCAAACAGCCCATTAAGTTACCCAGCCATCAACCGGTATTCCTCCTCCTCACTCTCCTCCCAAGCTTCTGCTGAAGTAAGCAATATTACAGGGCAATCAGAAAGCTCTGATGAAGTCTTTAACATGCAGGTACTTTCTTAGCTTTTTTGTCTAGTCACGTCTATTCCTTTTCTGTCTCAATCACGAGCGTTCTGGTGCATTCTGCTGTGCTAATGAGCAGACATCAGGGCAAAACGGAAGGCAACCGCTCATGCACACATGTTACTGTGTGGGCCTCTGGGGTCCACAGAGTTAAACTCCTCTCAGAGATGCCCCACCAGCGTTGAGAAGACCTAACCATGCAGTGGAGAAGCCCGGCAGGTTTGGTGCCTCCGCCCAGGACCCTTAGTTTGGCCCGGTTGCCAGCCACCTAAGCAGGAGAAAGAGGAGTTCCAGTCCCGAAAACCCACAGGGGCAGTTCCACTCTGACCTAGAGGGTCGCCATGGGTTGGACTCACCTCAGTGGCAGAGAGTTTGACATTTGCATGTTTCTTTTTGGGGATGTGCCTTCTCTTTTGATGAGGGGGAGGGGGTGTGTCTTCTAAGAAGATGTGGCTTGGGGGTTCATTATCAAATTCTTTCTACTTATGTATATATGGGACATTTTCCAAAATAAAAAGTTACCTTACAAACATACGTGATATCCACGTAGAAAGGAGCCCCAATGGCATAGTGAGTGGTTATGCATTGGGCTGCCAAGCACAAGGTCAGCAGTTCCAAACCACCAGCTGCTTTGTGGGAGAAAGAGGAGGCTTTGTACTCCGCAAAGAGTGACAGCCTTGGAACCCCACAGGGGCAGTCCTCCCGCGGTCCTCTAGGGCTGCTGTGATTCAGAATTGACCCAATGGCGGGGAGTTTGGTTTGGGGCTTTTTATGTATGGACATAATGAATTTTTAAGGCTTTTAGCGCCAGTGTGACTCTTGTAACAACAACAACAAAATGTTTATTGAGACACTGCTCATCGGGTGTTCATGAGAATTCAGAAAGGCGAACTGGCCATTTTTTCCTCGCAGTTCTTTTTGGGCAGGGGCCCACTGACATTGCCGAGTGAATGTCAGAACCATCTTCCGGGAAATACTAACAAGGCGCATTGAGTGCCTTGTGGGAACACTCCGTTATCGAGGTACCCTGGGCTGGGGTTCCTGTGCCTACCCTCAGCCTGGGAGTGCGTAGTTATCACTCCTTAGTAGGACCCTGGGGAGGCACACCTTTGGCAGTCATCAAATTCTCAACCTCTTGCTTAATTCTGACAGGCCACTCTATCAGGCAGAGTTAGTGAGATATTTCCCGTTCTTTCGAATTGCTTCTTAGACCTTTTAATTTGGGGCTTAAAAAAAAGAAAAGGCGGCTATTTTGTTTCCGCCCTGCTCCTGTTATCCAAAGCCTCTTTGCCACGTAGGATAACACTTTCCCTTGCCTTTCCAGCCAAGCCCATCTACCTCAAGTTTGAGTTCTACTCATTCGGCTTCGCCTAATGTGACAAGTTCTGCTCCATCGAGTGCCAGAGGTCAGTGCCAGGGAACGGGGCAAAAGAATGGAGCCCAGAGCAGGGTGCAGTCCTAGGGGGCTTCGGCGTCAGCAGGGTGCAGTCCCAGGGGGCCTTGGCCTCAGTGTTGTAAGCCACACCCTGCTTCCCCCACTGTGCTCTGGCCTCCCCAGCAGGCCCAGCACCACCAGCACACTGAAGGTGCATCTTTTTCTCCTCTTTCCAGCGTCTCCTTTGTTGTCGGACAAACACAAACATTCCAGAGAAAACGCTTGCTTGTCACCCAGAGAGAGGCCGTGCAGTGCCATCTTCCCGACACCCGTGGAGCCTTCTCAGGTAGCTCTCACACGCAGGGTGGAGAACCCAGGACACAGGCAAGAGCCTGGGGCTGCATACACTCCTCTGCAGAAACACACGTTCGCTGCCAGCAGCAGCCAGAGGGATGGCGCTAGAAAACACATCCAGCCAGGCGAAGAGCCCACACGCGTGTGCCCTCTGTTCATCTTTAGGACTCTCTGAGCCAAGTGTGATCCTGGTAGGGACACCTGGGTTCCCAGCCTGAGCCATCAAGTGAGGGCCAATGGGAAATGGGCTTCCCTTTCATTCATGTGGCCCTTGAGTGGCTTCGGACTCCTAGCCACCCTTAGGGCAGAGCAGCACTGCCCCTGGGCGCTTCTGAGGCTGTGATCTGTACGGAAGCAGACGGCCACAGCTTTCTCCTGTCCCATCGCCTTGACTTAGCGGCGGAGTTACTTCCCCCGCATGCCACCGGGCCAGCCATATTTCAGTGCTGTTCCTTAAACATTAAGGAGGCCTGGTGGCGTAGTGGATTATGCATTGACCTGGTAACCTGAACGTCAGAAGTTTGAACCCATCAGCCACTCCAAGGGAGAAAAATGGGGCTTGCTGTTCCCTTAATGATTTACAGCCTCAGAAATTCTAAAGGGCAGTTCGACTCTGTCCGATAAGACCCCTGAGAGTCGGAATCGACTCACTGGCATCGGCTGGTTTGGTTTGGTTTACTTAAACACTGGGCATGTTTGGGAGGCACAGATGGGTAAGCACTGTGGCCTTACCTGAAAGGCTGGTGACGGTCACTCACCCAGAGTGCCTCAGAAGACAGCCCACGAGGAGCCTAGCAAGCACAGATCTGTGCCGCACAGGATTTGGATTAGACTCGGCAGCAAGCGGACATAAACATTAAGCTGGGCCATTGGGTGAGTATGCTGCTACGTGTGGGTGTATGCAGCAGAAATCTTGGGCAAGTTCCTCGTGAGGGAGACCCCCGAGTGGAGAGCGCAGGCAGTTGTTTCCTCCGGAAGGGGCCAGGAGTGCAGAGCCATCTCTGTGCCCTTGTACGTGTGGCTCTTGGTTTTACAGCCACTTTGGGGAGCAAATCGGAGCAGAGAAGAATAGCTGTACAGACTCCAGCTAATTTCCTGAGTTCTTTCCGCAAACCTGGCAAAAGTCTGTCGCGGCATCTGGAAACAGATGTGTGCGGGTGGCATTTGGCTTGATTGGTTTATCGTTGCTGACTGTGATTTCCCTGCACGTCCCAGGACACCTCATCTGGGCTGCTCAGATGTCTCACACACATGATAGCTGAGTGCGTCTGGCCGATGCAGCTAACCGTTTTTCTTTCCCTTGGTCACTTGGTGTTGTAAGGGGATCTCACAGGGTTCTCCCCACCTGCTGTAGGGGAGAGTGTGTTGCCAAGTTGAGGGACTGAGACAGCCTTTCTGATTAACCCCTGGAGTGATCTGCTTGGGGTAAAATTCAAGGCAGTGTATGGTGCCCAATTTTAATAAATAAGCATGGCTGCATTCCCTCTGAAGGTCGTGCCATAGTACTTTTTCTTGTAATGCATTAAGTAGAACCATGTAAAACGGGCATCTTTGCAGATGAGCAATTGTAGAATATCAGCAGTTTCATATATTGTGGCCTCATTTAGAGCGATGGAAGTATGTTCTTTAGAGATTTTTGAGCAATTTTTTCTCTTTTAATTCTAACTTGAATTTCTCATCGCCAGTGTAGCATTTGTTCTTTATAAGAGCGCTCTGCCTTAGCTGTATGTACAATTTTCCCCCTACGTGTTATTCTGAAAATTAATTTATTGTCTAGATTGGAAATCTAATAGAAACTTTTTAAGCGGAGTTGTTCTCGGGGCTTGCCAAACTTCCGGCTTTGTTCTAGGAACATCATACTGTCTAAAAATTATTTTGAACAGAAAGCTTCAATCTTGAGAGAGTTATTTGATTTCCTTTTCCAGAGGATGCTGTTTAATCACATTGGAGACGGGGCCTTGCCACGCAGCGACCCTAATCTCTCTGCACCTGAGAAAGGTAGGTGTGAAGCCAGCCCCGTCCATCCTTAGACATGTCTGGGTTTGTTTTGTCCTCATTTCCTCCAGTCTTCTGTGTGTCCATGTGGAAGGCAGTTTCCGGAACTCTTTAATGACCCAGGACTAGTTTGCTCTTTAGGAGATCAATGGAAGACAGTGGTTAACCATCCATCCATTATTCAAAAGTTCTTCCCACTCCCCCCCCAACCACCACCACCCCCCTTGTAGGATTTAGCAGCACAACTCTGAGCATGTTAGAAGCTTTGGGGGAGGTGTGCTCTGTCCCCAAGGTAACCCCCCACCCCCCTTCCTGAGAGGAAGTTGCCAATTAGGCTCCTTGTGGGACACTAGGGAAATAGCCACTTTGCAGATTGATTTCCTGGCCCTTTCCTTTGTCTCCTTTACAGAGCTCCTCTGCCAGCTCATCTGTTGTATTTGTAGTGACTCAGTGCAATTAAACACCATTTAGCCATAGCAATCCAGTGCATAATGGCGCGTGCCCTGCCTCAAGGTCAAGAGGGAAAAAGAGAACACGGAACACATCCGTGGCAGTGAATAGCCTATTAGCATCCGTTTGCAAAACACGCAGAGGATGAAGAATAAATTAAATGTGACTTGCCCAATTAGTGGGGGGGTGTCAGTGGAGGGGAGGGGAAGGGGTACAAGTACCCATTTGCTTCTGTCCGGTCAGGTGTCCAACTAGAGGGCCCCATGAATCAAAAGTCACTAATGAACTGCCCTGGTCAAGTGCACTTTAATTGTCCACAGTAAGGACTAGACTGCACTGTCATCGGGTACACAATGAGGGAGAGATCTTAGTCAAACTTATTTCAAAATGCAAATTGTTCAGAGGTTACAAGTCAATATTGATCTTTGGCTATGGAGTTTAGCAATGTGGTAAGCACCTCACCCCTTCCTACCTAATACAAGCACAATTCTAAAGGAAGACAGGAAGGGGCGAGGGTGGGCAGGCAGTATTTTCAGACTTTCCTGTCCTCTCTGGAAGCGAAAGCGGTCCTTTGATTGGTAAAGTCTTGAAATGCCAGCGCTGTCCACTGGATGGCAGTGCCCGCATAGGAAGCTCACTCCTGGTCGGCTCTGAGACTGGCTTTTTGCAAACCTCCTTGCCTGGAGGCTATTTATAACCTTGTGGAAACGTTCCTAACAGGAAGACTCCATATTCCTCTGTCTTACTGAAGCAAGGAGCAGGCAGGTGACTAAAACAAGAGTACAGCCACACGCTCGGTGTCCCTAGTCATTTGGGTACGTCAGCTGCGTTCATGGAGTTCCGGAAGAAGAGTCCCTCCTGCCTTTGCTCCAAAGGCTGGTCCACAGGGGGCTGCGGCCCATTGTCTTTCCTGCCTGCCTTTCTGCCCGGAGTTCTTGGATTAGCTTGTCCTTGCCTTCTCCCCTTCTGGGTGCCACGTGTAGAGACACTTCCACTTGAAAAACAGCATTTAAAATAGTCTAGTGGCTACGTCCCCATCTGCTATGCAGCCTCTGAAGGCATTTGTCGTTGTCAGCAAGTGCTGCACTCTGGCGCAGATTGGTAGTTCCTTCTGACAGCTGGAGGGGAGCAGAGGGGCGTGCGCTCCACCCAGTTAAATGTCAGCTCTAACCGCTAGCTGGCCAATTAAATAAAGGCTTGAGGATGCAGGCGGTTTCCCGGTTTTTAGAATCCAGCCGATTCCCCCACCAATATTCCAGATGTTTCCAAGTTTCTCCTAAGACAAGCTCTCAGCTGTGTTATTCCCTTCCAGCTGTGAACCCCACCCCTAGCAGCTGGAGCCTGGACAGTGGGAAGGAAGCCAAGACCATGTCGGATAGTGGGAAGCTTCTTTCTCCCCCTGTCCCTCCAAGACCCACACTGACTGGTGGGTATTTGAAGCGTTTATAACAATACTTTCTGTTGGGTCCTCCAGCTTGCCCTGAATTCCTCAGAAAAAGGTAGGCCTTCGGTGTCTGAGATAAATGCCTTAGGAGCTGCCCAGCTGGTCCACAGTGTTCTCCTTCTTCTTCAGACTGCTCTTATTATTGACATTTTAGAGGCATGGGCTCCTGGGTCAAGCAGTGGTCCTTGTTCTCTAACACAAGCCACAAACCCAGCCCAGACAGACTGCAGGGTTGTTCCCTCCGGCCGCAGCATCCTCAGATTTTTGAGGGCGCACCCTAACTGATGCATTCCACCCTGCGCTTCAGCGTCTCCTTCTCATTCAGCTTCTGCTAACTCAGCCACCTGCTTAATCATACTCAGGACTGACGCCAAGGTCTCCAGTGATCCCTGGAGTAGGAACTGGCTCCCAATATTTTGATAGGCCCATGGGAAACAGCCGCCTGGCACCCATAGGAATCCTTCATCTGTTGGTTAGTGGGACTCTGCGTTCTGAAGAGGGTCAATTTGGGCCACTGCATCGCCTGGGATGCCGGAGTACCAGGCCTGTTCTCGATTTAGTGATTCTGAGTTTTCGAAAACATTTCACCTGCTGGGCCACAGATCTTTATTTTCTCCAAGCCTTCCAACTTAGGCCTCTGCTCACCAGATTTTGAGACCCACTGAACGTTGTTCCGAAAAGCACTTCCTTGGCGAGTGTATAGCACCAACCTCTTTGCCTCTTTGCCAAGCAATACGTCATTTGCTTGGTGGGCCTGTGTGTGGGGTCATTTTTAAGAGGAGCCTGCCCTACCTTACTGATGCCCCACTCCGGTGACAGCGAGCGCCTGTAGCGGTCCACTGGGTTCAGAGTAGGTGTGACGCTTTACACATAGCACTGGAAGGAAGCATGGGACAAGCCTCCGCTGCTTCCCAGGGCAATCGTTTTTGTGCCGTTCGCTGACTTCTGGCATCGTGCCCTCTTACTTAGCTGTAAAGGAGAGGAGAAAGGCTGGCTCCTCCCTTCTGAAAACAAACGATGCTGCTCTCGGATTTGCCCCTGGCTTGTTAAAGCTAAAATCCACCAGTTATTGTTGAACAGAATGCTAAGGTCTTTAGTCAGAACAAGAAATTCCATTGAGGTTGATTGATGATTGGTATTAGCTATGAGCAAGGGCAGGAGAATGAAGAGGCTGTAAAGAGTTACAGTCTTGGAAACCCACAGGGGCAGTTCTACCCTGTCCTGTAGGGTCGTGATGAGTCAGCATCGACTCGGTGGCAGTGCGTTTGGTTTGGGGTTTGATGAGACCCAGGAAGGCTCTAAGACCCCTTAGCCAAGTCATTCTTATTTTATTTGTGCCAAGCCCACATTCAGGCAGCACCCCCTGCACCCCTCCTGGACTTGGTGGTGTGTCTAAAATTGGGGACCAGGAAAGCATTTTGTAGGGCACAGTAGTCTTCATAGTAAGGTCTCTGGGTAGTACCAAGGGTCTGTGCTCCACTATAATCTTGAGCCACCCAGCAGCACTGCAGAAGAAAGGCCTGGTGATCTCCCTTCATAAAGATTAAAGCCAGAGACAAAGGAACCCTGGTGGCAGGGGTTATGTGTTGGGCTACCAACCAAAAGGTCAGTAGTTCAAAACCACCAGCCTCTTCACAGGAGGAAAAGGGGACTTTCTATTCCCATTTAGAGTTACAATCTCTGAAACTTACAGGGGCAGTGCTACCCTGCCCTAGAGGGCCCCTGTGAGTTGGCATCAACTCGCTAGCAGTGAGTTTGGCTTTTTGTTTTTTTAAACACCGTGATTCAATATAGACTCAAAGGCTACAGGTAGTTAGGTTCCTGAGCGCGTTCAGGTGTGGAGACAAGCCTGCCGAGAGAAGACGTGTAGGTCTCTCTGCGGACACACCCACCCAAAGAAACGTCCACCGTGGTGGTGTCAGCGGCTGCTTGAGTTGAGAGGAAGAGGGCCAGGGGACAGACAGCCTTGACTCGCACCCCAGTGATGACCAGCACCCAGGGAGCAGCCAGGATGTGCTCCGTAGACCTCCCCGGGTGAGAAGAGGTAGCGCTGCCATCAACACTCGACATGCACTTTCAGCAGCCCTCTCCGCAAGCAAGATGAAGGGCACCCAGTGTCACCACAGACCACTCTGCTGGGTCCCCGGGGCTCAGAGCACACAGGTGACCTTCCACCTCCCAAGCTAACTTCGGGCAAGGCTGCTGTCCCTTCTGCACTGATTGCTTTCATGGCCCATCTACATGTCCTTGTCGGTGGTCACAGTGGTAGCATCTCTGTCTGTCTGCTTCCCTTCAGCCTTTCTTTCATTTTCTTTCCATTCCCAAACCTACGCGGTGACAACCCGGCCAATGGCAGCCATTCACAGAGCAGCAGGAAGCTCTCTCAGTGGCACGGACCCTCTTGGCTGTGCCCAGGCAGCCTCAGTGCCGGTGCCAGCTGCTGAGATCTCGCAGGGTTTGATCCACAGGTACACACCCGGCAAACGCTGTGATCCCACATGCTGTTTCCCTGGTGTGGGGTCTGGAAGCCCTTTAGGAGAAACAAGACAGAAAGCTCTCCTGGGGCGTGGGGATGGACTGCATAGAGGACCGCCCTTGGAGGGAGAAATGGAGACCTACTTGCCCTTTGATGGGCATGGCCACAGTGGGGGTAGTGGTTGCAGGAAATGTGGGGAGATCAAGGGGAGAGAGAAAAGGTACCTCCAGCCCCATGGGCCTCTTCAAAGCTGCCTGGGTGGCCTTGGTCTTCCTGCTGCTGCTCAGGCCACATCAACAGCGGCTTCTTTCCACGCACGGCTATTCCCTGCTACCTCACTCCTGTAGCCCAAGCAGTGGAGAAGGCTCTGGTATAGAGGTGGTTACAACACATCCTGTCCACACTGGTCATTCTCCGCTGATTGTCCCGAGTCTTTGCAATGCTG